CTCAGACCAATGGAAAAGAACTGAAAACCCAGAAATAAAATCATCAGCATACAGACAACTGATCTTTGATAAGGGCCCAAAAAATATAAAATGGGAAGGTGATGCCTTCTTTAACAAGTGGTGCTGGAAAAAATGGATATCTACCTGCAGAAAAATGAATCAAGACCCTTATGTAACTCCATGCACAAGAATAAATTAAAGGTGGATCCCAGACCTTGAAGTTAAACCCCAAACGATTAGGGCCATCAATGAGGGAATTGGGACCAACTTGAGAACTTTGGTACATAGGCTATCAGAAATAGGGAAGGACACAAACCCAGAGGAGGCACAAATTGACAAATGGGATATACTGAAGATAAAACACCTGTGTATATCGAAAGAATTTACCAAGAGAGTAATAAGAGAGTCCATGGACTAAAAAAACATCTTTAGCAATGACACATCAGACAAAGGCCGTATTACTAAAATCTACAATACTCTGCTAGCTTCCAAAAAGAAAAAAACTAATTGCCTACTTGAGAGGTGGGCAAAGGACTTGAACAGAAGTTTCACAGAGGCAGAAATCCAAATGGCCAACAAACATATGAGAAAGTGTTCTCAATCTTTAGCCGTAAGAGAAATGCAAATTAAAACAACAATGAGGTACCACCTAACACCCTCAAAGGTGGCCCAATTCAAAAAATCAGAAAGCAACAAGTGTTGGAGGGGTTTTGGGTAGACACAGGAACTCTCATCCACTGCTCGTGGACTTGTGAGTATGTACAACCACTATGGAAATCGATCTGGCATATCTAAAATAGATGGAAATTGAGTGACGATACGACCCAGCAATCCCCCTACTGGGCATTTACCCAGAAAGAAACCAAGGCCAGACATCTGTGCACTCCAATGTTCATTGCGGCACAGTTCACAACTGCAAGGAGTTGGAAGCAACCCAAATTTCCATCAACTGACTATTGGATTAAACTGTGGTATATACATACAATGGAGTACTACGCATCGCTAAAAAGCAGTGATGAATGTATGAAGCACATTGCTGCATGGGAAGAGTTGGAGGAAGTCATGTTAAGTGAAGTAATTCAGGCACAAAAGGACAAGTACAACGTGAGTCCACTGAGGTAAGCATTAAAAAAACAAAAAATGCAAAAGGGACATAAGAAAAAGCTACTGTATACAAACATTCTTGGGGTCAGGACCAGGTAGTATGGCCGGGACCAGAGCAAATGCAGGGATGCACAT